GGAGGGGGGGAGAGACGGGGAGACAGAGGTGGCAGAGGTGTGAAGTGCTGCATGACTGCATCCACATGGACACAGTAGGCAGCGTGTCTGTGTCTGTCTGTTTATTCCTGCCCCTCCCCCAGCCACTGAAGCGCTGGGCAAAATGCATTCAGGAAGCGCTTATTTCCTGTGCCCCACCTCGGCCCCCAGCTGTCAGCACCCCCCCACCAGATACCACGCCCCCTTCACCACCCCTACTCCATCCTGCTTCCTCGTATCATAACCTTTTACCTTATCCTGAATTTCTTGCATTGTGTCATAAAAGTGAATGCAATGGCACTCTGAGTGCATGCGATCTCCATCTTTCTCTGCGAAACGGCCCCTTACCCACCCTTGTTTCACTTCCATCCTTGAATCAAAATAAACGGCAATACGTCTGCCCTCTCAGGTAAAGCTCATAGACCAGCTGTCCCTTATAAGCGTCACTGTCCCGCTGCAAGAGCAAAAAGCCAGTTTCGGCGAGATAAGCTTTGCCGTCAACATGGAGGGCCGCGTTTGAGGGCGTTCTGACTGACTCGCAGTAAGGGGAAGGGGGAGGGAGGAGTCCGCGCTTTGCGGTTATCGCCAAACGTCGTCAGTGTGCCTCATGGTGCTTCTTGTGGTGATGGGAGACTCCGCACACTTACTTGACACGGAACGTACCACAGTTAGGAAGAAATAAAATAAGATCCGGAGACCTGCCTGGCAAAGGCAATTCAGCAAGGTGTCAGAGGCACGTCCTCACATGCGACGGCCTCGGCTTAGCTAGCAGGAGGGCCAGCACTCTTACTATTTTGTCGTGGCTTAATATTTAGAAAAGACGACGACGCACAGTGATGAAAAAGCTACGCTACAAGGTGTGGTAAATGCTAACAACGCGGATCACCGTGTCTGATCCCCGCGCAAACATGATTCTGGGTGAAGAGGTGATTTTAAGCAGCATCAAGCACATAGTAACCATCATATCATCGCTGTCTGATGAAAACCATGTATGTCCACTTTTTGATGACAGTGACTTTCTACTGTAGATGGAATATATGCCCGTTCTGTCTACTGATAGCATTTCACATGTAGTCGACTAATGAAAAAACGTTTTACGAAGTCATTCATTTGACTATCATTTATGTTTGTACTAGTTAGCATTTGTGTTTATGATGGTAATTTGTATGGATTACTCTATATTGTTAATAATAACAACTTAACGTCGATAGCTAGATAGCTAAGATTTTTATTAATTCTGATTATGAGATTAGTTTGTATCTTGTTGACACTGACATATTTGCCTCGCTGACAACAATCCACATAAATCCAATGAAAACATTACAATGTTAACTGATGGGTATGTAAAGATCTGTGGTGCTAAGAGTGTTTCATCACATTGTTTTAGGTTTATTTTGTAGTTTCTGAGAAAATACATTTTTTTAATGCTCCTGAAATAAAGGAATTTTGGAGATCCGTGTTTTTCACTGGACAGTGATGATATAAAAATGTCTTGATAATTAGCAGAAAGGGGGCGTGGCTAGTCTAGGGGCCCTGACCCAGCGGCTAAATACTCACCGCATGGCGTAGGCGGGCCTGACTTCGTGTGGGTTCCTCCGGTCGGACCAGAAGATGAGCAGGCGGTCGAAGATTGGCTCGATGTTGGCCACCATGCTGCGTCCTTCGGGGTAGATTTGCAGGATGCCCCCGTGAACCTGAGGGTCACACGTGCCAGCACACGTGGTCAGCAAAGCCTGCAATGGCCTGGAATATACCACGAGCTATTTCCAAGACATGAGCAGACAATGTGAAGGACGTTGCTATGTTACGGGGGGGGGAGAAAAAAAACATTTTAAACACACTTGACCGATTCATGCAGATTTTCCACTAGCTTGACGAGCCAGTTCCATGCTGGCTTTGTGAGAAAAAGGCCTGGATACTGGTGCTCTCCCTCTATCGACGTAAGCAAGCCAAGCCGGGAACACACTGATCCGCGAGCTCTCAGCTGTTTTAGCAGCGGCTGCTTTTAGCCGTTTGCTAGTACTCAGAAACTCGGCTTTTTGGGTGACGATGAAAGCAAAATAGGCAAACTAAAATTCAAGAGAGAGGTGGAGGAAGGCCGTACAGTATGTTATCTCTGTTTTGTGTTTTTCATTATTTAAAAAAATGTATAAATAAATTCAAAATAGAATAACATTCCATCCATCTACAGTGAGTCGGGAGCCTGTCCCAGGAAGCATAAAGCAGCGGATGTAATTTGTGAATCGAGTCTGTGAACCAACTTGCATGACGTTCACGTAATTTGTGGATGCAATTTGTGACTCATGCAACATCACTGCTGCGTTAAGCTCAAGGGGCTTATATCCTAAGCGATGACAATGGGAAGTGCTGAAAACAGAAATTAAGTGTTACAACAGCACTTATCTGTCTGCGGGCTTTTCCTCCTTATTTGATGTAGTAAATCCTAGTGCTAATTTTAAGCTAGTTTGTGCCACTCCTAGTTTTTTTTAAACCATCCATCCATCTTCCAACTGCTTCTCCATTATAGGGTCACAGGTTTTAAAAATTAATTTGCCATAATCATTACATCTTTATACACACACACACACACGCACACACACACACATACAGTATAGGACTCCTTCTAGACAAACATCACAAACTGTCTAACGGTGCATAACAGGATTGCTCAACTGGTCCTGTGCTAATGTCCAGAAGATCACGGGTTCAAATCCCATGCCTGGCTGTTTAATTAATATCACTATTTGTCCCTTAACCCCACCTGCTCCAGGAATGCTGATATATGATCCTCACTTGTATGTTACTTTTGGACTAAAGCTAATAATATAATTCATTGGTGTCCACCTGATAATCTAGATTCCTGATAGCACTGGAATGCCAGCAGAATAACAGACACAGTTGAGGAAAAACAACACACATCACTGTAGTAGAAATGATGTTGGATACAATGTCGCACATGGGGTGCAGTGAGTGTGGGTGGATGAGGATGTGTGTGGAGGGGGGCACACCTTAATGTCCCAGTCCTTGTTGAGATAGTAGATGCAGGTAATACAGCGGCCGTCTCCATTCGGGTTGTCCACATGACGCACGTATCCGGTACCGTTGCCGGGGTAACAGGCCACCATTGCCTAAGGAGGAGTAAGAGTAGAGTAGTGACGGAGGTGAGAAAAATGGCTTCAAAAATCAAGCTTAACTCCATGTTTGAGTTTATTATACTTTTTTATTCAACTGTTCCCATGAATTATATTCATGGTAAACTAAAAAATAATGGGGGAGGGGGCCAAATTCTCTCAAATGGTCAGTGTGCTTCCTTTGAGGACATGGGGATGATTTAACTGCAACACTCATCATTTACCACCCCCCCCCCACCCTCCAAAAAAGGAACATTTACATATAGTTCCTTGGCAAATACTACATGCAAGCTTACATTTAATCTTCCCCTATCGTCATAGCTGGGTGTTTCGGTGGTAAGATTAAGTGAGGTTAAGTATCATGTTTGAGGGGACTAGTACAGAGCTGCCGCTGGGACTCCACCAGACTCCAAGTTGGGTCCCAATATCTGAGAACATCAGAAACTAAGTGCTAACCCACTGAAAACCCTGTGCACCTTCCCTGAGCTGCACTATAAAAAGCAGCATGGCAGGGTGTCAGAAGAGCCACCGTCTCACTCAGGCCTTTTTTATATCCCAGCTATTTCCTTCCTGTCATCATTGAAGCTAGCTGTTTACTCCAGGCTGCTGTTTGTGAACACCAGTGGGGGGTTGGGGTGGGGGGGGGGTGGGATTATATCCTGAGGCTTTTCCTGTACCTGCTTGAGAGAGAGAGGCCGTGCAAGAGCACATGCACTTGGGTCAAAGTCCAGAGAAGCCGTAAGACTTCAATTTGTCCTTTACATTTGTTTGTGTGTGTGTTTGCGCAACTGCGTAACTCCCAAATACACAACCCCTGGCAAATGACAGAATCAGCACTGTATCTTCAAAGAAAACACTGGATATCTGGGGTCGGACTTAGGCTAGATATGGCCCCCTAAAGCAGACGGCTGCAGAGTCACGCCTGGTATCTGGCTGAATGGACGGCAGAGTTAAGCACCGGGACACCGGGACATCCGCCGGCGTTGGCGCATTCGGCCGCGGCCTCTGAAATGTTCCCCCCTGTGCACAGATGCCCAATAAGAGCAGCAGGAAGCGTTGTGCCATTAGTGGGCGGAGACTTTCTCACCACTCGGGCACGGTGAGCTAGGTACGAGCCCACCTACTATCACTGCCCCCTCATGTTCTTGCATGTCTATCCCTCTCAGTGCCAACATGGACATGGGTCCCCATGGCGGGCGGGGCACTTTTCTGCAGGAGACCAAAGAACACGCCTACTCTGTCACCTGATCGGGTGACACTACTCCTCTGGCTTTTGAGCATAAGCAGCGCATGTTAGAAACACACTCTCAGAAAAGGTTCCCCATTTCAGGACACAGCAATATCTGGCTCACACCAACACAACCCGATGCACACTGCTGGCATTCAGTCACAGTGGGCTACCTTTGGTGGAAGGACAGCCATCTTGCATCACCCAAGCAAACTCAAATGCTAATAGAGCCTAATTACACTAATTATGTAAACTGGCAGCTGTTAGGTTACACAAATACATCCTGGTAATGTTGTGACTGACCTAAAACTGTACTGGCCCAGTAGTGAGAACGTAACTTAGTTCACATCTATTTGATGATGCAAAACAATAGATGCCTTTAGCAGAAAAGTATGGCTGAAAAGCTTAACCCCCCTGTTTTTACTATCTGTCTACCCCCATTCGATCAAGGCAATAACACAAGGAGGGGGGGCACTCGAGAATACCCTGCCCGGCTAGGGAGTTTTGAGTGTTTGGGGGGGGATACATACAAATCATCGTGCCCCCCCCTCCCATCCCATGTTGTTCGGCAATACCGTGATACTCTCATGGCCTTATCAGGCCCAGGAGGGAACACTTCATCTCCTAGCCGCCTAAACAACTGGCTGCTTTCTTCCTTGTTATCGCGGCTCTGATCTCTGCACGGGGGAGCAGGGGATTAAACAGAGCGGTCACGCGACCCGGCCTGTTCGTACTGGGCCGGGCCTGACTCGCTGAGGGCCACAGCTGCAGGAGCAGAGCCGGGTCTGACGACTGCTATGGATGGGCCCGGGACACCACGAGTCGAGCTCTGTCTTTCAGAACTGAAGATATTTCAATAAAACCACCTAGTGCTACCTGAAAACACCTCCTAACACTTAGTCTTAAATGATACAAGAAAAAAATCTGTTTATGCACCAAACCGCAAACAGTAACCTGTTCAACATGGTGATGATTCCACAGGGAGGGGCTCCAATCCATCCCCATAGAGACCCAGGACTCAAAACTTGCACCGGGATATTTGGAAAATGCAACCTGTTAGTGATGAGAAATGAAGAATTCTTTTTTTGGGTACTTGGATCCCTTGAGTGGCCCAGCAGCCCACCCGTCGCAAACGTTAGAAGACAAGCCCGCCACCAGGGGCTGCTCTTGGACTCTGTGAGCATCGTTTCAGGGCGATAACTCAAGAAAACGAAACATCTTTAACCCAACTGCCGTCATCAAACTGGCTGTTCGTCATCACAGCCATGTCCGGACCTGTTAGTCCACGATCCCTACATCATTCCCAATTAACCCTCACTCTGCTATCCTGTCAACAAAGTACAACCCCCTCCCCCATCCTTTGGGCCTTCCACTGCCTTAGGAAACGGCTCAGAAGCTTCTACTAAGATCAGAGCTTTGATCCAAACTAGTGCTGGTGCAAACATGTGAAAGTCTGATCAAAACCTAGCCTATGAGTATGACGGAGGAAGAAAGTGAGCAGGCTGAGCCATGAGCCTCGTTTATCTCTCAAACTCTAATAACAAGCTTCATCTTCCATCAGCAACATCCTCATTTTAACGAGAAACCCTACTTGAGAGTTTACATTGGAAGAAAGCAGTATTTACAAAGCCACCGGGAGCAGAAGAAATGGGTCTGGATCACCTCCGACTGGATTTATACCTCTACAGCCTTTAGTTTCCCCAACACACAGAGCTGAAATATCAGAAAGACAAACCAGCAGCTGCTCCAGGCTATCAGTAAATAAGACTTCAGCTCTGTGTAAGCCTCCCCCGCTGTCCCCCCACCCTCCCTGGACTGGATGCGTACATATCCATGTTCGTGCAGCGCCGGGGGTGCCGACACAATACACAATGGTGTTCTGATCAAGGCGGCTCAGCTCCAGCTAGCACGGCTGTGGCTAACACAGTGGTGGCATTCGGGCTAAAGGACAGGTGTATCCTAGCAGACCATAGCAGAGCGTGGTGATCTGTGCTTAGGCCGCCTCCCCCAGGCCCGTGGACCTGGCCAGCTGCAACAGAACAAGAGGGGAAGGCTGGATATGGGCCGGTTTATTTTCCCAGCTAAGGCGACGCTCTGAACGAAATGTTCCGAGACCTTACCAAAAAAAAAAAAAAAAAAAAAAAAATAGGACTGACAAACCGCATTTACTGGACATATAGTTCATTACCTCTAATAGAAGTTTAAGGTTTTCTTTTTCAAAAAAAAAAAAAAAAGAAAAAAAAGAGGGTGAGGTGAGGTGAGAAAAAGCAAAGCTGCTGTGATTATGTTGCAGGGAGACAGACAGGAGGACGGAGAAGTGAGATAAGAGCAAACAAATACAGGAAAAGCAGCCAGCGGACGGACTGGACTAGGCCGCAGCGCGAGGCCGTTAGCCTAGCGGCTGAGAGGAGCTGCAGTAGATCGAGCCCTGGGTAGATGGTGGGGGGTCTCATTCCCTCTCCTTCTCGGCCTCCTACTTCACTTCTCGTCAAAGCCACCCCCCATTTCTCTGGCTGCCCACCCCTCAGCGACCCCTGGCCAGATTGTCCGACCCCCAGATCCCCACAACCCAGAATCTTTCTTTAAAAAAAAAAAAATAATAAATCAGTTTCCTTTTCCCTTCCTCCGCCTATCCCCCCCCCCCAATACAGATTCTTCTCAGGCCATGTGAGCAGATGGGTTGAGGGGAGGACAAGCTCTGGGTCCATAGATCAGCACGGATGAGTCAGCACCGGGGCCTAAAGCTGAGTCATGCTGACTGCAGTGTTAGAGTCTCGATGCACTTGACCGCGCATCAACCGATTACGCCGTAGCGGCTTGTCCCTAAGGAGCACCGGAAATCGGGACAAATGCGACTAACGGAAACATCTAAAGCAGAATAATGTGAAATAGAGTCATAATTATAAACAATAAATATTTACTGTAATATTTTGTACTGTGACAGGTCTAATCCCTGTCAGCATGTTGTACATTAACCAAAGGCCCTTGCCTATAACTATGTGCATCTTTAGGTCCCTGCTGGCTGGAGCGTCCATTTGTGGGGTACCTATGCTGCTTGAACGTCTCCTCCAGCACACAGGGGGTGACGGACGCCCCCAAGACCTAATGGTGGCCAGGGAATGGCTGCGGTTAGGGCTGTCAAGCTAGCATTGGTTCTTCGGGTGGATATGTGCTGTGGAGCTGCCCTAGTTCCCTAAAGTGCTACAGATCACGAGAAACACACACACACAAGGCGTGTCTTTGTGTGACCTCTCCATTTCTATGGGCAACACCCAAATTCCAGCTATGACAACCTTAACCCCATCCCAGCCCTAACCTTAACCATAAGTAGCCGAACAAAATACCAAAAATACATGACTTCTGGCATTTCTAGTTTTTTGATTGCACAGATGTTCACAAAATTTACAAAAATTGACCATCCCCTTGTAGAGTCCGAAAAGAGTCAAAATAACAGGTTTTCATCACATTGTGCACAAAAAACAAACCAACAAACCATGGTGTCACCTGCAGTCCCAATACACCAATACAAAGCAAACTCAGGATGCAGTGAACCCCAAAGCCCCAGGATCTGGACCTGACATCATAGCTCTGGGATCACATGGTACCACTCTGCTGCTGTTTCCTTGCGGCTACACACTGTAGCGAGTTCCTCTCGGGGTGCCAGGATCCGTCTGGGCTGTTCCCAGGAGCTAAAACCACAAACTTGGGTGACTCACCTCTCCCATGACCCCGCCCTAGTCGACACGGCCATACCCTTCTACTATCCTGCGCCCCCCTCTGCTGACCCCACAACAAGTGCTAATCCAAATAACGTACCGCTGGGCTCGCATCCATGATCATAACACAGTACAACAGTGTCAAATGTCAGGTGGTACGGTCGATTTTTGGCCTGTACCACTTTGCTGCCCATAGGTTATAAATATAGCACTCGGATCTCAGTGACGGCACACTCTGTGACGGAACGGGCCTGTTAGAGCTCCCCCTAAAGAACAAGGTGTACCCAGTACTATGATTACCGCTATTGTTTTACACATGATGTGTCGCCCGTTTCCCTTTCAAGCAGAAAGGGGTTCGGCGTCTCCCAGCATCGGGATGCTGTGGTATTCCGGTAGCTGGCAGTATTCCTGGGGCCACCCGGGCTGGCTGAGAACATGACCCCCCCCAGGCTGGGCCATAAAAACCAGGAAGCATGCCTTCAAAAGTGAAGGGTGGCCGCTTGTGACATATAACACCAAAAAAGTTTGAGCACACGTCACTCCTTTATAAAAGGAGCCAGGGACTTGGATGATTCCCGAAGCACAACTCGTATTTCCGTGCTTTGGGGGGGTGGGGGTGGGGGTGGGGGTTGAACAGCAAACTCAGGCCTAGACACAGACGCTGGCAGCACTGCGTTTCGAGGTCTGGCGCTGAGATACCCCAGCTCTGCAATACTCTGTGTCCTGTTGCCAGGGAAACCAAAGGTGGTGGTGGTGGTGGTGATGGGGGTGGGGGGAGGCGGGATGGAGGGATTTTGGCAAATATGTAAGTGGAGGGCCAATAACATGCTGCAGAAAGGGGGGGATGGGAGGGGCGGAGCAAGAGGGGAAAAGCGAGCGAGATGTATAGAAGGTGTGCAAAAGAAAGACAAAAAAGAGCATGCAGAATGGAAGACACCCCCCCCCCCCCTCACAATGTGGCCTGGTGCAGTGACCTTGCTGCCTGGCAGTGCCCGCCCCTTCCCTTTCCCAGAAACCAATCCTGTGAGGACACCAGCAGTTCCCGGGTCCCTGACCAATCACAGTCGCCTGCAGCAGTGCCTGAGTTGGCCCAGTTGACAAAAAATAAAAAAACAGACAAAAAAATTAAACGCTGTGGTGAAGACCCTGGCACACGAGACCTCGATCCAAGGCTTCAGCAGGTCACTGGCCCTTGTGATTTAGGAGTTCTTATGCTTCCACCGCAGGGTGAGGCTTCAGAAGAGTTTTTCCCTAACAAAAAACAAGAAAACCTCGCACATATTTCTCCCGTCCAGAAACGCTGTTAAATTTAAAAGTCAGCCGAGCCACATACACCAGCGGTGAGTCTGGAAAAGCACCACAATGATCCTTCCAAGCTGCAGGTTCACCGTTTACTGATGATTAATTCAGGCACAGCAGAGAGAGATCAGCGCCTTTGCAGGGCGGGAGTAGGTTTGCAGCTGATGGCAAGCTATGCACTTATCTTTGATATAATGAAATGTGACAATCCTCACCCACTACCCCCCCCACCCCCCACCTCCAAGCCACATGCCCCACTGTCCCCTACTTCTTAGGGGGGGCGGGTGGGGTCAACAACGTTCCCTCAATGAACAGCAGAGCCCGGGGCGAGGAGTATAACATATTCCCAAATGTAGCACGGTCATGTGTCAGATTCACATACTCAAAAAGTGTCCTCTTAAAGGTGGAACATCTTTAAAGTTCTGCCAACATTTCAGGGGGGAGGAGAAATGGGGGGAACTCGAGTGAGCAGATCGGCTCTCAGGTGAGAGTGGAGAAAATAGGTAAGAGCTAAGGAAACACTCCAAAAAGTTGATGGACACTCGTAAGTATTGATAGTAAACAGGGGAACGTGACACGTTTGGGGTGAGATGGCACTGACCTGCCCTGACAGGCCACGACAGGTATCGTAAGAGTGCCAGGCTGGGATACACAGGCTGACTGGGAGCCAATCCCACCACATTCACACATCAATACAGAGTGCAGCTGTTTACTAGGAGTGACCCAATTTGTCCACGACATGTGACTGCAATTTGGACCAATCCCAGCTAAACTAGACTTACTCATGTTGATTTCATATCTGTGATCCTCCGAAGAAAATAAATGAGAATTACATTCTTGTTTCATCCTGGCCAGCACCTTTGATTGATACAGGCAGATCCATCTCCTCTTTCACCTAGGTTCCTCCTGAACCAGTTTATGTGCAGTGACTTGTTGAGAGGTCCAAATACAGGCATCCCATTTTGGGGCACTGAAATGGGCTGGTCATCAATTTACTTTCTTGAGCTCCCTTCACCTAGCGTCCCGAGTTATTTGCTGAACTGCGACATTCAGCACTTCAGGCAAATATACGCACACAAACTTATGGCAAAGAATGCATTGTTTGCGTACGAGCAAGATAGCAAGATCGAAAGAGCAGCCTTCAAAGAGAGCGGGACTGATGCAGGGGGCTGATATCAAGGCCATGCTTTCACTACTGGAGAGATGGGAGCGTGAACAGGGAAGAAGCGAAGCTTCACTAAAGGCAGACATGGTACAGATTCCCTCCCATGTGAGTCATGGCAAAAAGAAATCGACTGCAGAAGCCATTTTTAATGAAAAAGAACACCACTCCGTGTATGAAATGGCTCAAAATTTTGCAGTTTGTCATCTCTGAGGCTGCTTTATGATACACTGAAACCACGGTGAAACTTCTAAGTGAGCAGAAAACCCAGTGACAATCTGTCCTTACCACCCCCCCCCCCGGACACCAAAGTTCGGTTACCTTGGTGCGACCATTGATGACGCGGTTTCCCAACTGGCCGTTCATGGCGCTGTACATAACAGCCTCGTCGATGTGAGCCATGAGGGTCCCGATGCTCTCACAACCCGGCTCGCGACCCTCCACCCAAGTGATCTGGTCGCCCCGAATGTCGCGTGACGGGATGGCCCTCTGGCTCACGAGCTGGCCGCCACAGAACTTGCCGCTCTGCTGTAGCGTCTCCACCTCCTCTAGGACGCGGTCACTCAGCGGCGGCCCGAGGAAGCCATCCTTCACACATATGCCATAGTAACGCATGCAGGGCACGATGTACTGTTGCGCTATGCGCTCCGGCGACCAGCCCGCCACCGCAGACAGCGGGGATGTGCCCTGCACTGGCGTGGCATGTGGTCTTGCACCCGGGGCTGGGTTAGCTGTGGCCAAAGCCTCGGCAGCTCTGCAGCCTACGGAGTGATCCCTGTGACCTGCACCGTGGGGATGCTTGTCCGTGACGGGCAACTTCGTCGTGCCCGTTTCTGATTCGCTTTCGTCGGTTTCGACCCGCCTCCTTTTGCGCTCCGCGGACGACTGCTCAACTCCAGCCTTGGCTGTTCCCGTACTGGCTCCTCCCACCATGGGGTCGCGGATCCGCCGATGAGGGGGGGATGGCGAGTCACAGTTTGGTCCTTTGAGGTGCGCTGCTTTATCATCCCCGTTCTCAACCAGCCTCAAACAGTTGGTTCCTTCCGCAGCCTCCCCCTTCTCCGGGTGGCCATTGGGAACCTGGGCCAAAGCGTCGCCACCGCTGCTCGCTGTAGGGGGCGCCACCCCATCGATGTATGCTGGAAGGCCACTCTTTGCCTGTTTCTTTGAAACTGCCACGCCTGGCGAGACCGATCTCGAGGCCAGATCTGCCAACAGCTCCGCCTTCGTACCAGAGCCCACGTAACCGTTTAGACCCATGACCTCCTTCAGTTTTGGTTCAGCTTCCCGGACCGAGTCCCTGTGTCCTATCTTGTCCTGCTTGGGTGAGGGGCTACCGACTTCTGACAAAGAGCTTTCGTTCAAAAGGTCAGAGCATCCCAAGCTCTCCATTTCATCTCGTCAAGTCCTAGATACACGTGTAGCACACCTCTCCCCATTTTCTGCAGGATCCTCCTTGGAAAAGGGAGAGTGCAGCACAGCTGGCAGCCAGACAAGCAGAGAGAGGCACTGCAGTGGTGGAAAGTTTCATATTAAAAGTAACCTCTCCGGGATGATTCACGTACAGCCCCCCTCTGCATCTCTTATCGCCCAGGTGAGAGTCTAGAGGCTGGAAAAAACAGCAATTAATCCTCTACATCAGAAAGCAAGAACGTTTGCACAATAAGTAGCTGCCTAACCAGACATGTCTGCCTTAGCTGAACAATTTGCATGAAAAAGAAATTTAAAATACAGATACAGATATTTGTGCTGCATTTAAGGCAAATTGTATAAGGGCGCCAACAGCTAGAATTAAATCTTCATCACCCGCATGTTTTTTTAATTGGTGATGCGCAGATCCACTTGGAGTATTCCCCTCAGCGGTCTTTGACAAGTCCTGGACTAACTTTTAACATATGCGATGTTTTCTGCTTCATGACTTCGCCAGCTTCAAATGTTTTAATGCACATGTCATGTGTGCAGTTTGAAACCGTTACACTTGTTATGTTCTGGGTTGCGATGAGGGATTTTTTTCTGCGTAGTACTTTGTAAAATAACCTTTTAGACGTTATACCACTGATAAAGCCATCCAGTGCCTCACATGAACTGCTCGTCATGGTCATACGGTGACGAAGCCGCTCAACTTTTTTTACATTCAAGATTCAAATTTACAATGAAAAATGTCCTGGGATATAATAAAACACCAACTATTTGCCTTTCATAAGCCGATTTACAACAGCCCGGTCACTGGTGTGTTTCACACTCAGGATGCCGGCTAATGCCATTTACAATAAACGACTAGTGCCAGTTTTATACATAATTGGCTACGCGATAACAGAAACCCCCATATCAATCACCTTAAAATATCTATTGTAAAGTAAAAAATTAAACATACATAGTTTAAGTTACAAAAAAAAATACAAAACAATGATACGTTCGTTTTACCTTTGCCGCGACAAAAGTGAACGTAGGCGACGACGAGAAAATCGGTGCTGATACCATAAGGCTTCCGAGAAAACCAATCCACCATGTTGCTATAAATGTATTAAATTAACTATACGGGTAATTTAACCTCTTAAATTATTTGTCTTATAAATCCCATTAAATGAAATACGTGGTATGTTTCTAAACGTGCACACTCCCATACAGTAGAAAATACATTAAATTCTTACCCCCTGTAGCAGGCAGAGATACTGTACGTGACCAATCGCGGGTAGATATGATTTCCGGGATAGTGTCTCTGATATCTTATCTGCTCCCCCTTTTCGGTGGAATTTCTTCCGATTAATTAATGTGTTTTTGCCGTGTTTCCAAAATAACACAAAAACACACACAACACACAACGAGCACGAGAGGGACCACCGCGATGATGAAGCCACCGCGAGAGTCCCCTCGCGTTCGGGGAGAGCGAGCTTCGCTTAAGCTCCAGTCCCTCGCTCGCGACTCACTCCGGCGTCTCGCTCTCTTTCTCTCTCGCTCGCGCACTCAGTCCCTCCCGCTCTACTCTCCATGAGCTACTCTGTCAATTACACGTGCACACACTGTGGTCACGTGACGCCGGGGTTGCTTCGAAAACAAAAAAAATAACAATGATAATAAACACGATTCTTGACGACAGGAAATTGTTGGTACTGTTCAAATTGTCGGAAGCGAAATAGCCAAATTGTGGATGAATTTCCTGTGTGCCACAATATGTCAATATCACAATGTAAATTAAATTAAGAATATTTTATTAGTGCCATTGGAATTTCCCGTTGTTGTTAAACATCCCAAAATACAGCAGTATACTAGACGTGGGGGCACTATATATAAAGCAATATATATGTATAAACTTAAAAGCGTACTTGAAGAGCTGTTACTGCACGTTAGATGATTTTCTATCTAAACATTTCTATGGTTGAAATAAAATTAATAAACGCCAGTCCCTAAAGTAGAAACGAAGCAGGACGTGACTGTTTTTGCTGTTCATCATAACGTCAGCCTTTTTCCTGTTACCTTGTATTCAAAACATTAATTGTGATTAAGTGATTTTTGGGATACTTCTTTACAAAGTCCAGAAAGGCATGGGTGAAAAGTGGCAGAATTAGGTGAAAGAGCAGGAAAGGAAGCTGAAGAATTTGTAAAAGCGGGTCATTTAACTGATCAACTGCATGAAAGTGCAGGGCAGACACAGAGATCACCGTAAGCTGTTGGTCGGGCAGACAAACATGTCACTAACACTGGATATTTCACTGAGAATAACAACATTTAACACACCGGTAACCACGGTATTCATAAAAGACATTTCAATTTTCTTCAGAAAACTATATATTAAGAAAACCTGACAATATTCAACTTTGTATTGGCCAATTTTATTTTACTAGAGCAGCACTATGTAGGTCCCAAATTGTGATGAATCTACTGGATTTTCTACCTTTCTGTATTTTTCTTATTTGTTCTATTAGTAACAATCAATCTTCATCAAAAATGATCCCTCCTATGCTCACTTGATGGAACAACTAATGAAACATACTTCGGGATGAAAACAGTGTCACTGTGACCATAGATTAAGCATAGATTTTTTTTTATTAGTCTTATCTGTTAGGTACTATGTATTAGTAATAGCAGTACATTTACTATGGTTAATAGATAATCCTGGAATATGGTGCATTATGTTGAAAGTAGTCTGTGGAAGCCTTCCTACTCGTCAAGATTAAAGATTCAAAGTTTTATTGTCATATGTATAGTGTGCAAAGTGCAATGAAATTCTTACTTGAATACCTTCTCCACAGACTACAGACTATTAACAGAGCAGTGCAATGCCACAAAACTCAATTACAAAACACTACTATGACATATCTAACATAATATTCAACAACATATATTACAACATATAATACTGATGATCAGTAAGTAGTGCCTTGTATTGTTTCATTGTATATTTTAATTATTTTGTTACTGCATATGTTACTGCAAGGATGCTTTTATTGCATATGTGCATATTCAGAACACAACTGCCACTGTTTACATTACTAAAAACATTTTTAAATGTTGGGGTTCCATAACATTTTCTGATATACTCATGCAACATGCAATGTGCATATCCGTGCAGGGCTTTTCATGATATTTTACTGTTCAGAATCAGTTGTGACAAAAAAATAAAGTTGGTCATTGTAACTTCGGTAGATGGGGCTGTGATGGATCCAACATTTACTAATCTTTGTGGACCTTACACTGAGACTTGAGGACAGCATGACCCATGGACATTTGTAGCGTTACCCATACCTTTGTGCTAATGGATTGTGATCAGTGGAAATACAAGGATACTCTATTTTTGCACTCAAAACGTGCAATGTACGTAATCATTGCGTTTGTAGTGGAGTGCCCCTTTAAGTGCACAGACATTGTATGAATGTGACCTGCCCTTAATCCTCTGCCTAGGAACATTGCTTGCTTTCTCTGTACAGACAGCAGTTAATAAGTAACACACTCCAACCTGGATGGGGAGGGCGCATTCGTTCCTGAGCGGGTCTGGCACCCCAAGCATCCATTCCAACAACCATCGTCACCGCAAAATCTGGCTAAACCCACCCCCTCCCACTTTTTCCCAAATATCTGTAGCCACTTATATAAGTGCAGGACACAATGAGTAGTGTGACACCTTTGTCAGAATGTGATGCATTTCAGTAGCGATGGACAGAGGGAGTCACAAATCAAAATGGGTGACTAACTGACAGCACACAGCAGACCTGCAATAAGTATGAGGCAATCGGCTTTGTGAATATCATGCAAAATCATGTTTATATCTGTGTTCGCTTGCAATGTTTATTGCAGACTGTGTTATCACTAGGTGAATTGTAGTGATCTATGACCAGGACTTTTTTTTTTACACTTTTATGGCTTCCTACGAAGCAGTCTGATGGTTAACCTTTTCATAACAGTGTGTAAATTGATCAGATCAGATGAATGTTTTTGTAAAGACGGGAAGACAATGCTGAATACATTTATTATAAAATATCTTGTGCCTATTGTATATTTTAAATGTAATAGTATCATGAAAACGAAAATCAGATTTTAATGGGCTGATCCCATTATATGAAAGTATGTCAAAACTCTTAGAAGTCTGCATTTACTTAATCAACCATTTACTCTGCATTTACTTAATCTTACTTGAAAAACAAACCAAACATCCATCAACCAAAAAATAAAACAGTCCAGAAAAACAGATATAAATACATTTTAAATGACGCATAAGAAGAAAAAAACAAAAGGACACAATATTTCCGTAAAGACAAAAAGGGGAACATGCAGACACACACCTGTAAACACACACAACAGTGCGACGCGCTCGTAAACACCGGGGCTCACGTCTGCTCACAGCCCATGGCCAGCTTCCTGTATCCCGCTGCGCTCCCGCAGCCTCAGCAAAGCTCCTCGTTGTAGGTCCGGGAACCGTTAACTCTTTGCGACAACTTCATGATGATCTGGCCGTTTACAGTGGAAGCCATTTCACACGCGCTAACAAATCACCCCCGGTACCACCCATTCAGGCGCGATAATTATGTTTCATCGTATGCATACTGATACATGTATATCACGTTAATAAATATTCATTGTACATATATAGTAAAATGACTGCAAAGTGCAGCTGTTGGTATAGCCAGAAACAGTTACAATTTGCTGCTGTTGTTGTGATTTCGTCACCATATAACCATAAAAAAACATAAAAGAACACCCAAACAGGATTTTTGTTTCACTGGCTACAAGATTTAATTTAGTTTGTATTACTTAAAAGAAACCACTGAAAAAAACAATACATTCACATAACATTAACAAAACACTTTAATTACAAAATGATTAATAAGTAATAACGCTTTTTGGGAAATCAATAATAAATGCTAATGCTCTACGTAAATCCCACCCTCTTTTGCTGTATCTATGGCAACATTACGAATGATGAACGCTTTCCGTCGTTGCAGTTGTGACACGTAGGTGTAAATGGATCTATTTTGAGTAACACTATAATAATGTACAACGTTAAATTGGTTGTTGATGTTCTGACAAATATTCTCATCTTTCCGTTTATTTATTTATTTTTCTGCTGAAGCTGAAAACATATAAACCATTGCCAAGGTCGTTGCTCCCTGAGCAGCTGGGCTGAGGTCCCCCAGAATGCACCTCGTGGAAGAGTGCCGCTCCGCACGTATACCTCTGTCGCGTCCGCGCGCGAGCGCGGGCACGCTCATTCTCTGTGTCCGTGCGCAGAGTTGCCCACTCCGCGGTTTTCCCGCCCAATTGGGCATTTTGAAAATACAGTTGCGGGTACATATTAAGAGGTCAGGGGTTGCAGATTGTTGGGGGTGTTTTTATAATGTTACGCGGCAGCAGACTAAGGGAAAAAAAGAAATTAATTATTATGGATGCAAGTGGCTCGTAATACTGAATAATACTGAATCGCCAGTCAGGGAAAGTCAGACGCACACGAGGAGGAGAGTACGTTTACGTGACGTCAATCATAGTGCACGTCTTTACTGGTAGCTACGCTTATAAAGACGAGCAAAAACCGTCGCTTTCTGCACGCGACTAGACTGAGATCAAGGTGTGACTAATTTGCTGTGGCATCATATAAAAACACAAGGGAAAGAAGGACAAGGAGAAGTGAGCGAGATAACAAGAGAAAGAATGAGAGGCAAACATACACACGTTGCAAGGTGAAAGAGTTAGGTTAGCTTATATAACGTTACTTGTCAGTGATACAGAAATTAAAGGGGCGGAATTCTCATGTTACCTGTATCCAGTGGGTCCACCATTCCCTACTGCTATGTGCATCTAAAGCAGTGAATGCTACCCCTAAATGTGGAGTATATGGCTTCTCAGACCTAAAGATTGTTTTCAAATGCTACTCAGCTTTTTCAAAAATATGCAGTTAGTTGCACAAGACCATAAATGTAGGTGAAAATCCCCTGAAGATACTGCAGTTGTCTGACTAGGTAGTTTGCAATCAGTGAGTGCATAAACTGCATCCTTGCACAGTATGAGTTAAAGCTACATTTACAGCTGACAAAAGATAGTGGAAATAATTTGCAGCTGAATTTACCTACTAAATGTACAATGACAGCGTAAATGTAATCCAGGGCTGCCAACTGTCATGCATCTGGTGTGACACTCAGACTTTCAGATTCACGCTCACGCAAGAAATATTATGGCAAATCTATATTATTCCATTGTAAACCTAAGATTAGTTACATCAGAAGCGTCTGGGCAGTTTGCAGTCCCTACGGACTATATACACTGTAATACAACTTGCATACATGTTAATGCGTGTGCATGTATGTGCAGACTTGTCTGAAATTGAAAATCTCACTCCAACCAGCTGACCAAAATTGGCACCCCTGCTAATCCACCTCAAATTTCTCCAACCCATTGTGTCATAATTAAACAAGATTAATAAACTTGAGACGCACAACCCTGCCCAACTTCTTGAAGAAATCATAACATTCTATCAATCTCTTCTTGAGTGCATAACACTTCCTCAGCTG